CAGCCTCCCAAGTGCTAGGATTACAGGTGTGCGCCACCATGCGCGGCTTTCAAACTTGTTAATTGTAATTTTTCGTGTTTTTTGGAGACAAGGTCTTGCTCTGTAACTCAGGCTAGTCTTACACTCATGTAGCCCAGGCTAGTTTCAAACTCACAGTGATCCTCCTGCCTCAGCCTCCTGAGTGCTAGGATTTCAGGCATTGCTACTATGCCTAGCTTTTTTTTTTCCATCTCATTTTCTTGAGACATGGTTTTACCATGTAGTCCAGGCTGCCCTCAGATTGGAGATCTTGCTTCAGCCCCCAGAGTGTTTGGGTTATAGGCATGCACTGCAGTGTCTAGCTTTGTAATACTTTTTTTTATAGTAATCAATATGATTTTTTTTAAAAGGCCATGTAATTATTGTGATTAACAAATGATTAGTGATTATATCATAATCATTAATACTAGTAGGTATCAGCTGTGGACTCAACTACAGAACACTTTTGATCCCTACCCTTGCTAATTATTTTTTCTTCCATGCATTACTTTCAGTCAGATAACTATAGTAACTGATGTTATACTGTTTGTCGGGTAGCTGTGATCTATCTTTTTTAAGTTCATGGGGGTTTTATTGTAACTTTTTTTTTAGGTACTGGAATCAGCATGTTTTTATATGTATACACAATACATATGTAAAACATGCATATGTGCATAATACAAAAATCTTGTTAAATTGATAAAAGTAATTCAGGAAAACGTTTCTTTGATTAAGGAACAACTACTTCTAGTGACCTAAGTTTTATGTCTATGTCAGCTGCTAAAACATAACCTTCAGTTCTTGAATGGTATTGATAATTGCTTTTTAGCTTGTGGTGGCACATGCCTGTAACCCCAGCACTCAAGAGGCTGAGGCAGGAGGATCACTGAGAGTTCAAGGCCAGCCTGAACTGCACAGTGAGACGCTGCCTCAAAAAGACAAAAAAAAGAATGATAATTATTTTTTGATGATAGCATGTGGCATACTGGGAGCCATACTTTTTTTTCTACTGGAAATCGAATTTACGACCTTGTACTTGTCAGGGAAGTGCTGTGCCACAGAGCCGTATCCCTGGTCCTGGGAACTATACTTTAATTTCAGTTCAGTTTTTTTTTCTTTTTTTGATACAGTACTGGTAATTGAATCCAGAATTATAACATTCACACTGAGCGACATCCCTAGTCGTTTTTGTAAGATTGGATCTTGCTAAGTCTGAATTGCCCATGCTGGGCCCAAATTGCAGTCCTCTTACCTCTGTGTCTCTTGGAGCTGGGACTAGTTTTGATTCTTTTTTTTTTTTTTTTTTTTTTTTTTTTTTTAGTTTTGATTCTTATCGGTTTCCTCATCTGATGTAAAAATCTCCATTTGCCCTTTTAGTATATATGCTGCTGAAGTGAGCACTCAAAATACCCTTTTAAATCTGTGTTCATCAGTCTCGTTAAATAACATCTATGATGATCAGTCAATAGGAAAACCTTGTATGATTAGAAATTAACTCAGCCATTTCTAATATGAAAGAAGTTGTTATTACTACTGCTGGTTATCTTTATAAACTGGAAAAGATTATTAGTTTTGACTTGGGCTGTTACCTTTGTAGGAAGATTAGAAAATAAGAGATTTGAAGGAAGATGCAGTTAGATTTGAAAGAGCATAGTGTAATCTTAGAAATCAGATTCTTCATGGCTAATTTGCTGTGCTTCAGTGTCCTGTATGATTTTCTGGTCTATAAAATAAGCAATCAAGCATTTTTCGAGCTCTTGACCTGATTGGAAATTCTAGCTTTAATATTCATATATACATCTTTGTTTTACTTAGTTTTGGAGCCAGACAGCTTGAGTTTGAATCTCAGCTTCCTTGTTCGTGCATTGTGTATTCTTGGGCCACCTTAGATGGTAGCTATCTAGTTTGAGAAGTGATTATATTGAATTATGTAAGGTTTTTTGATGATTAAATGACCTCATGCATGTAAAGTTGTTACTGTCTGAAAAATGGTAGTGACACAGTAACTGTTAGAACCTAGAAAGTACTACGTTGGTATTGTCTTAACCTAAGTGAAATACAGGACTCTTCCCATTTGGATAGTCCCATGATAATGTATTGTTTCCTCAAGTAATGACCCATAATTGAGATTACATCTATATGTATGTATGAAATATATATGTATATGCTTTGTTTCTTGCTTTAAAAGGAGGGATAAGATACTGTATATTAAAGAGATAAAATAGACTACCAGGGATTGTACATTGAGATGATGAATTAGTAAATTTCTAGACTACCATTATCAATTTGAAATCCTTAAAAATGATTGTGGCATAATTTATTTTTTTAGAAATATTCATTGAAAAAATTAGGGAAATGATAACTCTGACTTAACTAGTAAATCCATTGAGGCATTCAAGATACAGTAAATCCCCAACTTAAGAACATTTGAGTTGGGGCTGGGGATTTAGCTCAGTGGCACAGTGCCTGCCTGGCAAGCGCTAAGTTGTGAGTTTGATTCCCGGTACCGGGAAAAAAAACCAAAAAAAAAGAACATTCGAGTTGTGAACTTTTTTTTTTTTTTGGTCTTTTTGAGACAGGGTCTCACTATGCAGTTCAGATTGGCCTTGAGCTCACTTTAGTTTTTTGTTTTTTTGTTTTTTGTTTTTTAGATAGGGTCTTGCTATGCAGTTCAGGCAGCCTTGAGCTCACTTTGTAGCCCAGGCTGGTCTCAAACTCTGAATGATCCTCCTGCCTCAGCCTCCTGAGTGCAGGGATTACAGGGATATGCCACCATGCCCAGCAATGAACTTTCACAGGTGAACTGTGTAATACCCACTTTGCTGGATTACAAACGAAAACGATTTATGACTGTTCTCCCAGAAGTCCTTCACAAATTGAGGACATACGTACAAAATACCTAGGACATAATTATTGTTAGACCTAAGGTCAGGTATTTCTATAACTATACGTCCATTTGCAAGGATTTTTTTTTTCTGTTGTCAGTCTTGAATACATTTGCCACAACTGTATAGAACATTGCTTTGTAATGACGTGGAAGTGCTAAATAGTTTTGATGAAAATTTGAATGTTTATGCAAATTTATATTTGACTAATTTTATGATTGCAGAAATAACCTATGATGGTGGAAATAGCCTTAGGGCAGCTTAACTAAGGAAAATAATTTCTTTTATGTAGAGTTAGGAATTTTCATAGAAATTTGAAGCCAGTTGATACTTCCTGGTAGATTTTAGATATGTGAAGTCACTTTGTCAGTGTAGAAACAAAAATTATGTATAAAATTCAACTTTAGAAATAAAACTTGGCCTATTTTGGATATGAAAACTTTCACATGCTGTTTCCTTTGGCAAGTTTTTCACAATTTAGTAGGAGACAGTTGTCACTAAAATGTTGGCTTATCCTATTACATCATACTATACCTAGTATATTCTATAAAACATTGGAATTGAGATAATGCACTTCTCTTTGGAGGTCTCATTTTTTTATATTACTGAATTCATGAGTGAATCTTAATTTAAAATAGCAGTCATTTTGGTAGTTGTAGATTATATTTGTGTTTAATATAAAAAATATCTTGACAAAGTTTATTCTCATTTCTCCCTCATTTCAACTCTTCAGCCTAGTTGGGCCCACCACTCACATTTTTACCTACTGGCATATGGAAAAGAGGAGTAATGAACTAAGCAAGTACAGTTCCTGTTCTCATGAAGCTTAAAATCAGTACAATATTGAATACATCCAAAAATTGGATTATAGGGCACTTTGTGTTTAGTAGTCTTGTTACGCTTAAATGGTTTTTCAGAAAGCTTATTCTTAGTATTTCTGTTGTTGGCATTACTCTATTAACATGATTTTTAAAATTATTTTTAAAATTGTGTTACTCAGTTGATATCCTTTGTGAGCTTACAGTCCCCAAATAGGTAACCAGCTTTATACATACCATTATTAAAAAATACATTTTTAAATAGACATTTCTGTAACATGGTTTGTTAATGAATGGGTATATCTTTTGACCTTGTGTCTTTTAAATAAAAAAACCCTAATAATTATGAGTAGAAACTACAATAAAACAGCTTACTGTTAAGCTTCTCGATGGTATACTTTAAAAGTATGTAGAAGTAGAATACTTTTCAGTAGTGACCCAAGAGTATTTTGATTGAGATTTATTGGCTCTTACTAAGTAGTGTCCTAAAAAAGTATAATGAATATGACATAGTTACTATGAATAGTTCTGTCTACAGTGAAAAAAAAATGGTTCCCTTTTGATTTGGGGAAAATTACATAAATTTGTACAGATTTGATGTTTGAATTTTATTGGTAAATTAAAATATTTGATGTGTGAAGTTGAAATTTCCATTCATTAGACCAGTAATCCCAAACAAGAAGTTGCATATTTGGAGTTAAGTGTTTAAAAATGAAATGGAATGTGGAATGGTTGAGGACATGAGAAGTAAAAACTTTCTCCATGAGTTGTCTTATATATGGCATGTGGCATACAGTGGTTATTAGAATAGCTGGAGCTCTCCATTTTACAGAGAACTGAGCTATTGTTTGGTTATTTGTATAACATCATCCATAAAGCCAGGAAATGGTAAATCTAGTTTGACTACTAAGCTTGACTCTAATACCTCATATCTTAACATTTTGCTGTCATATAATAAATGTCCTACTACTTTGTACTGGTAATAAAGTTCTTTGGATGCAGTGTACTATATTACTCCCAATTTTAGTACTAAATGCAACCATTTTATTTTATAGATGATGTAAAGGTGTTAAATATTTTTATGCTTTCACTTATGGTATAAATTAGTTTGCTTAAATAATAGTCTTCTTCAGTATGATATAAAATAGTTGAGATAAGTTGAGTACATGCAAAGATCCTTAGGATTTAGGTTGCCTCATGTAGCATGACCAAGTTGCAAAATTGCGGCCTTTGTGTCTGTCTAATGCTAGACCTGCTAAAGGAACTAATCAGTCCAGACAGCTGATTTAAAATTTTTTTTTCAGTGAGCTAGTATCTCTTTTGTATGTCTTGATACCCTTTTTCATTTATTTAAAGTTAGATTAACCCACAAAAGTAGAAGAAGGTACATTTAAGATGGAATGATCTTAAATTTAATGTTTTTTATTTTAGCACTTTTCCAGCCGTTAACTCCAGGCTCTCGAGAATTTGAAGATGTTTTAAATATTCTCCATTCATCTTACCTTGAGCCATCTTCAGTGACAAATTTTCACTACAAACCTGCGTGCTTGATACATAATGAGCTTTTGGAAAAGGAGGTATGTTTTAAGTTGTACTTACTCTAAGATTCTTTTGAGAACCAACTAACCTGAAAAAAAATCCTTTTCTCTAGAAATTATAGTTTTTAAGGAAGCCCAAATTATGGAAGGGTAAACAGGTTTAAATAGTATCTCCTTTTTCCCTTAAATATTGTTGCTGTACACTGCATTTATCTGCCATGTTAAATTCCTAACTCATGGCGATCTTCCTGCCTCAGCCTCTCGAGTGCTGGGATTATAGACCTGTGCCACCATGCCAGGCTTTAAATTCTTATTGAGGGATTATGTAAAATAACTTTCTGAAACTGAAGTTTAAGCATAGCTTACTTTGTCATGGCTTAATTATAAATTCATAGAGCTTTTTGCTCTTTTTTTTTTGTTTGTTTGTTTGTTTGTTTGTTTTTTTCTGGTACTGGGAATCCAACTCACGATCTTGTGCTTGCCAGGCAGGTTCTGTGCCACTGAGCTAAATTCCCAGCCCCAAGCTTTTTGCTCTTGTAATACATGTTAATTAAATGTCTAAATTGAGAAGTAATGAAATCACATACATTTTTAAAAAGGATGTAAGTGATTTTCCCAAAATTGCTTGGAGGCTGGATTGATTATCTTATCTTGACTATCTTATCATTAGTGGAAATTCTTAGGGAACAGTTGAGCATATTAGTTGAGTTTTGATTTAGGAAACACTAAAGTGTATATTCTGAGGTAATATAAATGGGATATTTAGACGTATTTAACACGCTGTGCTTTTTCTTTTGAGGATAAGGTTTCATTATATAGTTTAGGTTGGCCTTGAACTCACTATGTAACGCAGTTTGGCCTTGAACTCTGAGTGATCCTCTTGCCTAAGCCACCCTAGTGCTGGGAGAGTGCTGAGATAGCAGGCGTGCCATTACACCTGGCCATTGTTCTTTTTTTTCTGTCTTTCCCTCTTTTTATTTCATCTCCCCACTCCTCTCCTTTCTCCCACCTCTTCTCTTCCTCTCTTTACTCCCCCACTTCAGTGCTGAGGAATGAACATTTTCAGAACCAGGATGAACATTCTTAGCTCTTTTTTTGTTTTGTTTTGTTTTTTTTTTTTTAAATTTTGAAGCCGGGCATGGTGGTGCATGCCTGTAATCCCAGTACTCAGGAGGCTGACGCAGGAAGATTGTTGCAAGTTCAAGGCCAGCTGGGCTACAAAGTGAGCTCAAGGCCAGCCTGAACTGCATAGCCAGACCATGTCTCAAAAAGACAAAAAAATAAAAGAAAAATAAAATAAAATTTTGAGTCAGTGTTTTGCTGAATAGCTATGTTGTCTAGGCTGGTCTTAAATTGCTGTGCTCCTGCCTTAGCCTTCCAGAGTGCTGGTAGGCATGTACCACCATGCCTGGCGTTAACATTGTATGCTTTCTAGTGGTTGCGAAATACTACTGATTGTATTTTTACAAGTTGGTTAATGAAGTGTTACCAAAATTAAATTTGAAAGAATCCCTAAAGGGTAGTTGGTTTTTGTTTTGTTTTGTTTTTGTTTTTGTTTTTTGGTCTTTTTGAGACAGTCTCGCTATGCAGTTCAGGCAAGTCTTGAGCTCACTGTGTAGCCCAGGCTGGTCTCAAACTTGGAATGATTCTCCTGTTTTAGCCTCCCCCTGCCTAGCCTCCCAAGTGCTGGGATTACAGGCATGCTCCACCACGCCTGGCCCTACAGGGTGTTAATGTTACTGGCTCCTAGAGAAAATGACAACTTTGGTAGTTTAATATGGTTTCGTGTATGATAGTAATTATTTGTTAATTTCAGGTAAAAATTTAGTTGGAAGGTGTATTATTAAAGAGCAGTAATGGCCTGAATACAAATAAAAAATGTTAGTTATTCTATGATTGAATGTTAATCTGTATCCTAAAGTAAAAGCCTTAGTTTTAGGATGTCTTAACAGTTTTCTCTTTAATCATGTAAATATGTGAGTATGTACATCTTAGGTGCTTGGCCCTGAGAACAGTTATTAAAGACATGAAACACTTTTCCTTGTTCTAAGTGAGTCTATAGTCTAGAAGTAATTGGTCATTCAACAGATTTATTTTTCATTTTAAAAACATTTTTATTAGTACGTTTGTGATACATAATGAATACAATTGCCGTGGGGAGTTGGTACCTATACATAGCACATCTTTGTCTTTTTCACAACACCCCACCCCTCCCCTCCCTAGAGCCCTTTCCCATCTGCAGATGTCAACAATAAAGCACTTACCACTTACAGTATACCTTGTTAAAATGGAAGCTACAAAGATAACTAGATCATCAATTTATAATCTATGGGAGAATTGTAGTATGATAAAAATGTTAGTAAAACTTTAATTAAAATTGTTAAGTACTCAATGCTTATTTGACTGTGTGGGTAAAGAGCCTATAATGGGGAGAAAAAATTGAAGTAGTAGGAGACAAAAGATCATTTTTTACTTTGGTAGATTTGAGATTTGCTGGAAAAAAATTCTTGAAACTTAGCTTAACAAAACACAGTCCTGTGCTAAGGAGTTGTTATAGATTCAATTTCATTTAGTTTACAGAAAAGCGAAGAGAGCTGAAGTCTGATGGTCGTTTAGATAAGGAACTTTCAGAGTCTTATGCATTTCTCATGGTTGATCGATGTCAGGTGAGTTGACCCTTTATAAAAACAATTGGAGGATATTTCATTTTAAATTAATTTTTTCTCGTGTACCAGGGGTTGAACTCAGGGCCTTCCACACATCAGAAGCAATTTATCACTCAAGTATATCCCTGTTCCCTATTTAAAAAAAAATTGAGACAGGGTCTTGCTGCTTTGCCCAGGTTGCCCTTGAACTTGAATTCTCAGTGCTCCTTCTGCCTCTGCTTCCTAAGACCCTTAGGATTACAGGCACACGTCACTACATCAGCACAGCACATCTCTAGCCTTTTTTTTTTTTAAAAAGCCTTGGTTCCCCCAACTTGCCAGGGCTGGCCTCGAACTTAAAATGTGCCTCTGTCAGGTTCCTAAATGGCTGAGATTGTATGTTGGTGCCACTGTGCTGGCTACATTTTTCTTGATATAAGTAGAGAAAGTGATTTAGAGGGGAGAACTATTAATTGTTTTTATAATTTGTTTTTTAGATATACTCAGTTTTTTCCTCTGACCACTCCTGTTTTCTTCCCTTGGAATTAGCTTGATAATACATTTCCCTTTGTTAAAAGAGTATTTTGTATCTTGGTTTTTTTTTTTGGTTTTTTTTTTTGGTTTTTTTCCGGTACTGGGAATTGAACTCACGACCTTGCACTTGCCAGGCAGGCACTGTGCCGCTGAGCTAAATCCCTAGCCCCTATCTTGTATCTTGTTGATTGTGTGTTCTTGGAACAATTTTTTTCCCCTTCTACTTAAAGATGTTTAGGTGGAGCCACTTCTTCAAATGTTTTCCTGATTCTGATTCTTTTTAAAAGGGGATGGTTATGTTTGTGAGAGATAGGAATTTGGAGTGTCTCATACCTAGTTAAATATAAATGCCAGGTGTGGTTACTTTGGGAGTGTCAGTTTTACATTGATATTTGGACATACCCTGTGTGTGTGTGTGTGTATATTAGAATGTATATAGCTTAGAAGTTTAGATTTTATTTAAAGTAAGCTTACAAATTACTATTTTATGTTTTTAATACGATTTCAAGGTGAAATGTTTTGTTTTTTTAGGTTCAAAGCATATGTGAAAAAGGATTGCAGGTGGGCCATTCCAAAATAACAATTCTTGGCAGTCCTTCCATGGGTAATTTTTTTCTTTTTCATTTATATTTACTACTAAGTTACCATTAAAAACATCTAATCAATTTGGCTGTGGTCCTTGTAATTAAATTTGTATATGCTTTATTATGTTTCCAGAAAAGGCGATTAGTCTCAGGTTCTGAAATGTAAAACCGGCTTTATCTTTTGTATGAGTTTGCATGCTTCTAATTGATCAAAGTTTACTTTTTACTGTCTTAGAGTCTAAGTGATTTTGAAAAATGTGATGCTTTTTGTCTATTTTACTTTGATTAAAACATCAGCTGCCTCTACTGTGCTTATATACCTTCTTTTTTATTATTGAATATTTGGATTTTTTTGTATTCATGTCCTACTTATTAAAATTCTTTCAATTTTTCTGTGTTTATTAGGTATCTATCTTTCTAAATATGCTGACCTATTACAAGCTAATCCTTTGGAAAATGGGGCAGTGGGCGATGTTGTGATTTTTAAAATAATGAAGGTAATTTCAGGTTTTACATTTCACTTATGAAAGACAACATTCTTTTTGGATTTTGAATTGACCCCAAGTATTTAGGACTTTGATTAAATTAAAATCCACACTGTTAGTGTTGAAGTCCATGCTTGCTAGTATGTAAAGATACTTTTGGGAGCAGTTTGTCATCTTTGATTAAGCTAACTATACTTAACAGTTTGTTTTCCCTGGCAAAGAAAAGAATAAAGAGAAGAGGGTAATATGTTGGTAATATAATTTAGCTTAGTGAAAAGTATTATGAGTAGAATTCCTGTTTATCTGTATTGATCATGTTTATGCGAACACTTGAGAAGTTTTCTCTGTTTTAGGGTAAAATAAAGAGTATATATGACCCCATGGGTGTGAAAACCTTGGAATCCATGTTAAATAAAAGTGCTCTGGACCCCACACCAAAGCATGAATGTCACGTGTCGAAGAATGCAGGTAGAATTACGTCACTCTTAGCTTACAGAGCCTATGAGCTTACTCAGGTATGTGCCTAGATCCATTTTAATGTTATGATTTCATATCTGTTTATTACCGAATCTTCCAGAATGTTTCCCTTTTAACTTCTGCTGTCACATTAGTCTTTGGTTTCCACATATCACTGCTAGATTCCTTGTTTCTTTTTTTGTTTGTTTGTTTGTTTGTTTTGTTTTGTTTTCCGGTACCGGGAATCAAACTCACGACCTTGCGCTTGCCAGGCAGGCACTGTGCAGCCCAGCTAAATCCCCAACCCCCTAGATTCCTTGTTTCTGAGTGAGGCTTGTTCATCTACCTTGACACCTATGTTATTCTTGTCTACCTTGCTTTTTTGACTTATTTGTAATTGAGTCCAGATAAGTATTTTTCCGTTTGAAGTAATAAGCAAAATGGTGGTTAGGTTTGCTTGAGATTATGACCATAATATATGTATTTTTTTTTCTTTTTTTCTTTTTTTTTTTTGTTTGGTTTTTCTCTTGCGCTTGCCAGGCAGGCACTTTGCTGCTGAGCTAAATCCCCAGCCCCTATATTTTTTTTTTTCTATCAAGTTGACTTTTCTGGGGCTACCTAGGATCTTAGACTCTATTTGTAATGTTTTTCTTGGAATACTTTATATTCTATATTGGAATATTTATATTGGAATACTTTATATTTTACATTCCCAGCTCCTCAGAAGCAAACTTTTGGAATACTTAGCAATAGTACATTGGGATCTGACACACATAGAATATTACATGTCACAAAGTAAATACGAGCTACAGTTTTTTTCGGTTAAACTGACAATATGGAACTTGAAGAAATTTTCTGTCAGAGGTGCTTAAATGATTTTGTTTCTTAAAGACAGATAGATACAAAGTTTCTTTGTACTACTTGCCTACCTAATTTTACATTTTTTTATTTTTAGTATTATTTTTATGAGTATGGCTTTGATGAACTAAGGCGAAGACCAAGACATGTTTGTCCATATGCAGTTGTGTCTTTTACTTACAGAGATGATATACAAACTCCAAAGTTTGTTTCTTCATCAAGGTAAGACTTTAAGAGTTTTAATTTAAAACTCTTATCATCCAGAGTAAGATGCTACACAGCCTACGCTACTAGGTTAAAGGATCTTGTTGTCCCCTCTGCTTCCCCCTAAAACACTTTAAGAAAAGTTAATTGAATGCTTGAATGTTTATGATAACTTTTAAGAGGTCATTGTGAAAGACGGCTCATTTGGCGATGTGGAAACAAACTAAAATTTCCATAAACGTCATCTGGTTTCTTTTGGCATTGAAGGTTTGTGTAGTTGAGTTGAGTTAATAGCAGTTTTTAGAAGTGAAATTTTGGATATTAGCTTTCCTAAAATTGGGGGGCGTCTATAAATAATGCCCCAGCCCCACCTCATAGCAATTAAATCTGATACTTAGTAGGGAACCTAGAGATTGGTAGTTTTTAAAAGCTTCCATGTGATTTTAATTATTGACCAGTTTTGAGTACCACTGATAATTTCTTAAAAACACTGAGGTGACCAAATACAAAGTAGTACTCATTTGTCCCATGTGGTGATTCTAGAAAATGTTTTAACCAAATGGATTAATTTACAGAGATGTAGATGAGGTAGTTAAATGCTTATTTTCATTTTGAGTTGAAATGCATAAAGTTACTTGTAATATCTATTAATATAGAAAAATTTTTTTTTGTAACGGGTATTGAACCCAGGGCCTCTCCCACTGAGCTATAGCCTCACTCCTTTTAAAAATTATTTTAAAGTTTTGAGACAAGATCTCACTATGTTGCTACCAAGGCTGGCCGTAAACTTGTGATCCTCCTTTCTAAGATTAGCCATGTGCAACTATCCCTGACTGAAATACTGCTGTTTTAAAAACCACGGAGGAAACATTTATGAATGTAATTCTTACGGACCTCTTTGTCAGTTTTCTAGATCAAATTATCCTGTCATTCATTTAAGCTACTTGAGGTACAGCACTTTTTCATGTCAGTGAATAAGCCTTGGGAACCATCTATAGGCACATGTACCAATTGACATGATACTAGAAAGTGTCTTTTTTTTTTTTTTTTTTTAAATTGCCCTGTATTTATGATCTCCATCATATACATATTTACTATAGCAGTTTAAAAGATATCTAGCACTTACAAGTCAGAGGTCATACCCCTGGGAATAATGACTGTTAACTTTCTTTGATTCTTGTTTGATTGTGATTTCTCTATTATATCAGACAAATGTTGATCAGATATCCATCCTGCACCTCGAATATCTCGGGGATGCTTTTGTCTTGGGACTTTGCATTTGCTGTCCCTTCTTTTTTTCCCCAGTTACTTTATCTGTGTAGGTTTTTCCTCTACTGTATTTCTCTCTTTAAAGGTGACCTTCTCAGGCCTTTCTTGATTTTTTTTTTTTAACCCCTTCACAGTATGTCTTTTTCTTCCTAGCACTTAAAACCATCACCTGGTAAGCTTTATACATTTTTGGTTATCATCTGTTTTCCTCATTAGCTTGTAAGTTCTTTGAAATTCAACATTTCAAATTCAGCATTTCAAATTCAACATTTCAAATTCAGCATTTCAAATTCAACATTTCAAATTCAGCAAATAGGACTTTGTCTTGTTTATCCCTAGAATTATGCCTGGTAAATAATAGGATATTATTAACAAACATTTCTGAATGTCAAGTGAATATATTTAAATATATATTGAACCTTTTTTTCTAATCTTACCACCAAGGTAAAATAATTGAAAGAAACTTTAATGGACTTTTTCTCTGTTAATGGATATTTTTTGGTGGGAGGGAAACCTCCCTTTTCTTTAGGGCAGTGTGGAAATAGCAAAATAAATACTGCTTTTTCTCTAAGTAGACCTGGATTTATTAAATATGGTAATGAAACATTCATTTGTCCTTCTACTTGGAGGAAGGGTTTCATTGTCTGAAGCAGTATACCCTTACAAATAGCATTTATAGGCTGGGGGATGTAGCTCAATGGTAGGTTGCTTTCCTGGCATGCATGAGGCCATGGGTTCAGTCCCTAGCACGGCAAAAAGGCACTTATATCAAGGTTCTAAATGTTAACTTCCATGTTTTTACCAATCAGTAATGTTTTTTCTTTTCTTTTTAAAAATTTGTAGATCTAACAGCTTTAATGCAGATAGAAACATAGGTAAGATTCATGTATTTTTTTAGTTGTATATATTGAAAGAACACATACAAAAGATAAGTGCTTTGTTACATTTTTATAATGAAGGAAAATCTGCACAGTGTGAAAAAGCAGGTGAGGTTATGTTATCATGTATCATTAATACTTGGTCATCCAAGCATAAGGTCTCCTTTAAGAAACTCCTACTTCTGAAGATAGAGCAAAGTATAACTTTAATTTAAACAGATAAATGATAAATAGATTTCACAACTCAGCCATTTTATTTTTATTTTTTTGAGACAGGGTCTCACTATCAGGCTGGCCTCGAATTTGGGGCATTGTTCCTGCCTCAGCCTCTGGGATTATAGGTGTGCATCAGCATGCCTGACCACAGCTCAGCCTTTAAAAAGTATAAAATTCATCAGAGGTTTAACATTTAGAAGAGATAAAGATTAAAAGCATCTTTGACATTATCTTTAGGTTTCTTCATAATGAAAAGTGAATGCCTAGAAGATAGACATTGTGGGCATTCATGTACTACCAGATTTAACATAGTCTCTTGGAGGAAGTAAAAGGGCACTGAGCGTGTTGTCTTTATTTCTTAGCTTTCTGATGACATTTAGACAGAAAAAGTGGTGAAACTGAATTTTTTTTAAGAAGACACTCAAAACTAAAATCCTGTTATTTGAATTTTTCTGTAAATTGAAATACTATTTTTATGTTTTTCTAGTTCAACCTTGTTTCTGAATATTTTTTCTTATTTCTAGTAATGTGCATTTATTGCTCTGGGTTGTAAAAAATAATGTTACAATTCTTTTTATTTAGATAAATTTAACTACACCTTGTGGAAAGGACAGCTTTTAAATAAAGGAAAACTTTTGTGTTATATTTCTCTGAGGTCAGCTACTCGTGCTTTTTTGCCCATCAAGCTGTAAGTATGTTATAAGAAAATAGCAATTGATTATTACTAGTTTAACTTTTTTCTTCTTTTATATTTGTATTTTGCTTTGTTCCAGAAAAATTTAAATATAAATGTTTATTTTCAAGAAGACTGATTTAATAACTTTAGAATAACTTTAGAATAACTTTAGAAACTTTTATCTTGATTTGAAGATAAGCTAGTTGTATACATTTGTAGCATAAAATTTTTTGTTAGTCATTTTAAATAAAATAATCTTTAAAAGTCTTATCCTAATTAAATATATTTTTCATTTGACGACTTGAATATCATAGATTTAAAAGTTACCGGTTCTTTGTTGGAAAAGCCTTGAATAGGGTAAGTTAAGGTAAAATACACAGGCTATTTTCTGTACTGTGTAACATGCTGGAGTAGAATGATCTAAAAGGATCTCTTGCTACTCTCATAGTAGTAAATACTATGGGCCTTTGTAAAGATTTGAAAATTAATGTTTTTACTTGAATTGTCTAATAAAATGACAATATTTAATCCTTTATTATTACTAAAATTGGCATATAGGATTAGCTTTTGGCTGTGAATACAAGTTTGGTAATATAGCAGGCTATTTATGTATAGGCATCTAGACTTTCCATACCAAGTCCTAGTTAGAATAAGGTGAGATATTAGTGAATACACTGTTCTGTTTTCCCTTAAGCATTGTGTTTGTATGTGTATGATAATATTGTTAAAGTTAAAAAGACAGGTAAGGCAAATGTGCTTTTTTTTTTTTTCTAGTCCTGAAAAGTTAGATATTGAAACAGTTACGAGTATCGATCATCTGAAACAGAAAATTCCTCCAGCACTGTTTTATAAGGAAACATACTTAGGTCCAAATGAAGGTAAAGAAATTTAATTTTACTAAAATGTGAGAAGCAAGCTCTATTTGAATATTTATTGTGCTTTTTCTTATGTCAGTTTTGAAGAATGGAATGTATTGCAGCCTTTATGAAGTTGTAGAAAAGACAAGAATTGCAAGTAACATGGAGATTTTACTGCAAAAACTAGATAAAGAAAAACTTGTGAGTAAAAAGTTTTAAAATATGATTTTGAAAACATGTTAGTTATACAATTATTATTCAACTGTAAAGAAAAAAAAACTCGACTTTTTTTTATAAGTAAATGGATGCAACTAGAGGTCATACTTACAAGTGAAATAAATCAGACCCACGTGTGTAAACATTGTATTGTCTCCTTAGTGTGAGAACCTGAAAGAGTAAATAAAATCCGAAGGGTACAATAGATATTGTGAAAGGAAAAGAAAAACTACTAGGGAAAGGAGAAAAGAAAGAAGGAAGGGAAAATTACAGACACACACACACGCACACACATACACACACACACACACAAGATAGCTAAGATAATTGTACTACTGATTTCTAGTGGTTTACTGAAAGGAACAGTTAGTGCTTTTTTTTTTTTTTTTTATGCCACTGAGCTATATCCCTGGCCCTAAAGTGTGGTAGATTTATAGTTTCTTTTTTTCTTTTTTTTTTTTTTTTTTTTAACCAATTTTACGTGCTTATGTCTGGTAATCTGAACAACTACTTTGAAGATAACAATATGCAATATAACAACCATTGTTCATTTCCTGTCATCTTGTTTTCAAATTCTATATCTTTTTAACGTTTCTTAAAATTTTGTATTCTCTTTAAAAAAAATTTAAAAATCAGATATTAAAAAAAGAAAGCTTATCAGTGAGCATATTAATATTTCAGTTCATTTTTTGCCTCTGAAAGTACTAGAAAACCTCTGTTGCTACCCTTTAGTTGAAAGTATTTTAGTATGGCTAATACTCTTTTTTTTTTTCCTGGCCATGACGCTAGACCTTCTATAGTAGTGGTGGCGAACCTCTGGCACATGTGCTGTAGCCGGTTATTTGTTACTAAAACCTCTAACAGGTTCACCACCACTGTTCTATAGTCTTTCTCATGAAGTATCTTTTTTTTTTTTTTTTTTTTTCTTTTTGAGACAGGGTCTCACTATGAAGTTCAGACTGGCCTTGAGCTCACTTTGTAGCCGAGGCTGGTTTCGAACTCACAGTGATCCTCCTGCCTCAGTCTCCCGAGTGCTGGGATTACAGGTGTGCACCACCATGCCTGGCCTCATGAAGTATCTTTATTTACTTTGTAATTTATCTTTATTGTACTTTGTAATTATGAATGTGATAGTCAAATATTTTTTGAGTATCTTTTTTTTGGTACTGGGGATTGAGCCCAGTGACTTTGCACTTAATTGCTTCCAGCTCTTTTTATTTTAAGACAGTGTCTAAGTTGTCAGAAGAGTAGCAGGCAGAGATTTTCTTCCATTCTATACTCTACCACTTCAATACTCTGCTGTTTCTCTTGCTGTGCAGAAACTTTTTGATTTGATATAATCTACTTGTCAGTTTTTACTATTATTTCATGTGCTGTTGGAGTCCTACTTAGGAAGTCCATCTGTGCCTATGGCTTCAAGTGTTTCTACTACATTCTAGCAGATTCAAATCTCAGGTCATATACATAGTTCTTTGACCCATTTTGAAATTGATTTTTTTTGTTGTTGTTTGTTTTTTTTCTCCGGTACCGGGAACCGAACTCTCGACCTTGCGCTTGCCAGGCAGGCGCTTTGCCCCTGAGCTAAATCCCCAGCCCCTTGAAATTGATTTTTATACAGGGTGAGAGATAGGTATCCAGTTTTAGTCTTCCACATACAGATATCCAGTTTTCCCAGCACCATTTAGTAAAGAGATTGTCTTTGCTTCAATATATGTTTTTTGCTCCTCTATCAAAATCAGTTGTAGCTGTATAAGTTTATTTCTGTGTCCTTTATTCTGTTCCATTGGCATGTGGGTCTATTTTTGTGCCTGTACCATGCTGTTCTATTAGTATGGCTTTATAGTATAGTTTGAAATCAGGTGTTGTGATGCCTCCAGCCTGGCTCTTTTTGCTTAGTGTTGCTTTGGCTGTTCTGGGTCTTTTGTGTTTCCTTATGAGTTTTAGGATTTTTTTTTTTCTGGTTCTGTGAAGAATGTCATTGGAATTTTGATGGGAGTTGCATTGAGTCTATAGAATGCTTATTCTGACAGTCCATGTACATTGGGAGGTCTTTCCATATACTAGTGTCTTCAATTTTTTCAGTGTTCTATAATATATGTATTTCTTTTGTCTTTTTGAGATAGGGTCTCGCTGTGCAGTTCAGCCTGGCCTTGAGCGCACTTTGTGCCCAGGCTGTTCTTGAACTTGCATCGTTCCTCCTGCCTCAGCCTCCTGAGTGCTGGGATTACAGATCCCAGGCACAGTTATCCCGCGCCTGGCACAGTGTTCTATAATTTTCATTGCAGAGGTTTTTTACCTCTTTGGACAAGTTGATTCCTAGGTACTTTATTTCATTTTTTTGAAGCTGTTGTGAATGGAATCATTTTTCTAATTTGTTTCAGTGCATTACTGGCATATAGAAAAGCTATTGGTCTTTAATGTTTATTTTGTGTGTGTGTGTATGTGATTAATTTTTGCAGGGAGTGGCATACTGGGGATTGGATCCTGAGTGTTGAGCATGTTAAGTATGTACCTTTCTGAAGAGCTACATCTGCAGCCACATTTCAGTGCATTTTTTTGTTTGTTGTGTTGTGGAAGTGTAATTGATACTTCTATATATTGAGTTTATGTCAGACCCATGTGATATTTGGTAGTTTTTGTATGTTCCTGGCATTCCTTTCAAATAGATCCTTCATTCATTCATTCATTCATT